AGTTAGAACCGACTGGTTTGAAAGAGCTCCTAGTGCCTTATTTATTTATTTATTGTTTATTTACCTATTTATTGATTAATTCATTTGTTTAATTGTTTGTATTTTTATTTATTTGTTTGTTGATTCATTCATTCATTCATTCGTTTATTTTTTTCATTCCTTCTTAAACTTAAGTAATTTATTTGTTTGTTTGTTTGCTTGTTTATTTATTTATTTGCTTTATTTATTTATTTGTTTGTTTGTTTTCCTATTTATTGATAAATTCATTTTTTTCATTATTTGTTTGTATTTATTTATTTGTTTTGTTTGTTGATTGATTCATTTTTTAAATGTATTTTTTCATTCCTTCTTGCACTTAAATCATTCAGTAATTTATTTGTACATTTATTTACTTATTTATTGATTACTTCATTCATCCATTTATTTACTTGTAAAAAGCAGGAACTAATCAGTAGTGATTTATTCTGTATCTGTAATTTTTTTTATAAACGTGCATTGTTAGAGCTGGTTTCAGTCATGTGACTCTGGAGGAAAACGCTTTATGTCCCTCTCTGCTATTATAGCGGATCGCCATGGAAACCTCCGTGTTTTCCGTCCTGTGTTCATACAGATAGGAAATTCTTCCTCATGAGGGGAAATCTGATCATATCAAAGGTCATTTTACACCAAATGAGGAACATTTAGAAATGTTTTTAGCTAATAAAATAGTTCAAATACTACACAGGGTCCCTTAAAGCTTCTCTACAGAGAAACCACCGACTGGTTATAAAGAGCTCCTTTAACCTCTAAACAGTCTGTTTTTCACCTAAAAAGATGGAATAAATATTCCTGTGTGAGATCCTGACTGAAAATGTAAACAAACCTGTGACTGCTGACGGGAAATCCTTCAGCTGCTGAAACTCATGGAAAAACTCCCTTTTCATTTGAAAACTGCTCAGATTTGGGCTCATAAGCAGCTCTTTGTTCATCCACAGACTCAAAACCCCCAAAATGTGTGATTAAATATCTGCCCCCCCCCCCCCCGGGCAAATCTGAAACTGGGACTCCGTTTATTTCCCATCAGTTCTGGTCGTCAC